GAGCTAGTAACGTTAGCAGCACCGCTAATGGCTAACCAACAGGAGGAAAGCTAGTAACGTTAGCAGCACCGCTAACGACTAACCAACAGGAGGAGAGCTAGTAACGTTAGCAGCACCGCTAGCGGCTAACCAACGGAGGTTCACTTCAGTTACATTATGATGCCTTCAGGCTCTGCTCAATGAACATGAGTACTGGCTGAAGGTGCATTATAACGTTATCATGTAATCTGGGTAACATTTAGAATTTCTGATGGTTTAAACTGACCTCTGAGCTTTGAAATGACAGAAAAATAAATATTCTGGATCCTTGTAGACCAGCTGCTTTAATCAAACAATAAGGGGATCTGTATCTGTTAATATGGATCATCAATGCTCAACAGTTATTTTCGGTATATCTAAAAGTTATATTTATATATATATATATATACGTATATATACAGGCCGTGAGCTTTGTGATCCGTTGCACCACTAATGAGTACTGACAGTAAAAGTCCTTGAAACCTAATGCTTCTGTCTGAACCTGCAGGTCCGGGTCTGGCCTTCATAGCGTACCCCAAGGCTGTGACGCTGATGCCTCTGGCGCCGCTCTGGGCTGCACTTTTCTTCTTCATGCTGCTCATCCTGGGCCTCGACAGCCAGGTAATACCGAGCTATATCCTACATGTGCTTGTCGTTTTGATTCCTGTAGCAGTTCATCTAGATTAGATCGCTCTTCTACATATCTTTCCCTCCCTCTCTCTTTCTCTCTCTTTCTCCCTCTCTCTCTGAATTCTTCTCACACTCAAGAGTCGAGACTCGTCACGTCTACTTTCAGCATTTCTTAGCCGGTGCCTACATGCATTGTTTTACAGCTCAGGGGTTTTGTCAATGAGCTTCTGTCTTGTTTCACACAGAGAGCATTTGTCTGCTCTCCGACCCATTCATGTCCTCTCACTTTCCATTCTCTCCACCCGTCTCTCTCTCTCTCTCTCCTTCTCTCTCTCTCTGTTTCCTGCCGTGTTCATGTGTGGACATTTCTGGTAAAAGGTGTATAAAAATAGCCGCACAGCTGTTCTCCTCTCAGCTGTTCTCCTCTCAGCTGTTTGTGGAGGGTTGAAATGTGATTCTGTAAAGACGCAAACATTCTTACTCTGGGAGACGTCTGATATCAGGCGATCTGTTCGATTCAGGTTTTTGTTTACGATATACATTATATCATGGAATTCTGATTCCTGTTTTAGTTTTGACCAATTTTGTTGTTGCATTGAACAATTCAGTAAATGTATACCTACATCTGTGTATTTATTTAATTTTTGAATAACAATGCAGATATCACACCTGCACGTGTTCACAGAAGCAGATCAGATTTATCTTCCTCACCGTCATGTGTCTCTCTCTCTCTCTCTCTCTCGCTCTAGTTCGTGGGCGTAGAGGGTTTGATCACAGGAATAATGGACATGCTGCCGCCTAAATCTGCCCTGGGCTCCCTGCGGCGAGAGGTGGTGGCCGCCATCTGCTGCTTCATCTGCTTCCTGATCGACATGTCCATGGTCACCGAGGTACACGGAGGGTTTCGGAGCTCGTTTTCGGTTTTTGACTCTTCAGAATTATTTAGGGACTCACAGTCGACAGATTAAAAACACAACGAACTGAATACTGATTTAGAATACAACATGGAAGTCTCTCACCGGAGCGTGAGATTGTTTTAATGTGTTTGTGAAATAACCCGGCCCTGATGTGTAGCTAACGCATAGTTAGACACGGGAAACCGTTGCCAGGAATGAACGGGGACGAAGCAGGAAATGGGTCACACATGAAGTATTAACAGGATGGTCCTGATGCAGACTGCTCTCTCTGTTTTCCGTCAGGGAGGGATGTATGTCTTCCAGCTGTTTGACTACTACTCGGCCAGCGGCATCACTCTGCTGTGGCAGGCCTTCTGGGAGTGTGTGGTGATTGCATGGGTCTATGGTGAGACAATACCGCACTGCTGACCTTTCGCTAAGTCCCCCCCCCCCCCGTTCAAGCAGTCAGAGCCACGTCACCACAGAGCCCACACTGTTACTATCTTTTGGAAAAAAGGCGATTTCAGAGAGAAGCAGACAGAAGGGTCGACAATATATGTTTTTAGGATAAATCCAGAACTAAATCATCAGTGAAAACAGGTTAAAAAGATAAAGATAGAAGCTAAAGCTACAGATCACAGAGTGACAGTGAACCTCCACATCACCTGGAGATCCAGACAGAAGACAATGAAACTAAAGAACAACCCTGTTCCTCTTTATTCACTGTTATAAACCATTAAAATATATTCAGTACGCTAGCGTAGCATAGCAGTGCTAACAATGGTTTATGATATGCTAACGTCCTCTGCTAACGTTAGCTCGACTAACGTACCCTGGTCGGAGCTTAATCGATGCTACGATGTGATTGGCCAGTCTGCGTTCGAGGGGGCGGTTCTGAGCAAAGGGTCAATCACAATACAAACAACACAAACTCCTGATGCCAATTTAAAAATGCACTATTGTTTTGTTTTGTTTGTCGTGTTACAAATGTGGCTTCAACTGCATTTCGTTACACGATGAGTCACGACGTCCTTTATGTTGTTTGTGTCAGGCGCAGACCGCTTCATGGATGACGTGGCTCGTATGATCGGCTATCAGCCGCTGCCCTACATGAAGTGGTGCTGGTCCTACATCACGCCTTTCGTCTGTGTGGTGAGTTCTACATCGTTTCGTTTCCTTTGTTTTTCCTACACGTTTGCAACCAGCTGACGTGGTTCTGTGCATCCAGGCAGTGTTTACGTTCCACGTGGTGAACTACAAGCCGCTAACCTACAACAGCTCGTACACGTACCCCCTGTGGGGCGAAGTGCTCGGCTGGGTTTTGGCCCTGTCCTCCATGCTCTGCATCCCCGTCACCGTCCTCTACAAGCTGCTGCGCTGCAAAGGAACTTTGCGGGAGGTCAGTATGCAGCCGTGCCCGGCCGCGCACAGGTTGTCTTTTGTATCTGTTTTACAAAAGCGTCTCCTCGGATACTGCCCTCCCTCATCTCTGCTTTGCATGATTCCCCCCCCCCTTGTCTTCTCTCCGTGCAGCGGTGGCAGCACCTGACCACCCCGGTGTGGGGCCGACACCACCTGGAGTACCTGGCACCGGAGAACGAGGCCAAGCTGCTGCCGGCGGCGGGAACCAAGAGCACGCTTCTGTTTGAAAGTGTCATCTGATGAGAGCTGAACCCCCCCCCTCCCCACACCACCAAGGTCGCCCCCTGACATCAGCACACACACACACACTACATAAAGTACACACACACCAACCGTTTTTTTTTAAAGCCCTCGGACGAACGGACCAAAGATTAGATGGGAGAAGAACTGACAGACGCCCACGCAGTCGCATCACACGATCACCCTCCGCTCTGCTTTTTTCCGACTCTACCTCGCTGACTCTGCCCTCTCTCTTACCCCCCCCCCCCCCCCTCCAGCCTTTGTGCTGTCCTGTCTCGTCCTGTGTGAGTGTCCAGCGTAGTCGCGATATCTCCCCTCTTTCTGTGCCTGTCTGCCAGCCTTTCAGTGGCTCATCCGTCCCGACATAAAATGCTGAATGAGAGAAAAAAGATTTTCTGATTAAAAGTCTCTAAATCTGCTGCTGAGATGCCATGGTGTGAATGTGCGTGTGTGTGTGTGTGTGTGAATGTGTGTGTGTGTGTGTGTGTGTGTGAGAATGCTCGTATGTGTGTGTTGGACTGTGGAAGTGTCGTCTTCATTTACATGTGTCATCTGTATTCTCTCAATTAACTGTACAAAAAAACAAAACATCTTCCATTTGTTAAAAACAATGAAAAAGAGCCAAAAGCATCACCACTTCCATCTGTGTGTTATGAAGTAACTTAAGTATCCAGTGTGTTGTAGGGTCTGTGAATCAGTGTTATCAATATATCGGAGGGGGGTGACGATGATCAGTATTTCCACCTTAAGAGAAGGAGAGAAACGTGAGAATGAATTGCGCGGAAGAGCAGGAGACCAGGAATGTGGGGGAGGGGAAAGGAGACTTGATGCAATAAATGACAAGATAAAGATGGATGACATGTGTTTGAACGAGTCTTTATTTACACCGTCTCATTCAGACTAAAAACATACTTTAGTTATGTACAAAAACTATTCTGGTTGGATCACGTCAAACATGTCGGAGAGTCAAAGAGTTCACGGAGCCGGAAGCCCTCGAGGAAATGTGTGTGTTCTGTAACGTACGACACTTGACACTGTTTACTTTGGAGTGGTTGGTCCAAGGAGCCAATATTTGAGGATCTCTGACCCGCATGTCAGCGTTCTTTGTGCAGGTTGATCATTTATTTGTGGTCCAGACATCCAGCTCAGAGTCACATGATGAACACTCACGAGTCAACGCGTCCTCATACGGAGGTTTAGAGGAAGTCTTGTGAAGAGTTTTCCTTCAAGAGTACAGCAACAATTTCCACTTGTTACATGAAGACAGTCTTCATAAAAATACTTCAATTAGGTTTAGGAAAAGATGGTGAAATACTTAGTTAGGTTTAGGAAAGACCAGTAAAGAAGGTTTCATGTCTGGGACCACACGTCTTTGTGTGATTCTAAATAATATAATACAGCACGTTGTTTCCTCTGATCGTTCTGACAGCGGATGGTGACACTGGATCCCGAAAATAGCAGCGAGCTGGAGATGTGAGAGGAATCAGACGTGTGAATACCGACTGTAAATACTCCCACGGCGCGCTCAGAGGCCGCTGCTCACTTGAAACGTAGCACCGTATCTGCAGCTCTCCAGCTGCTGCTGCAGCCAATCTGTGTTGATTTATAAAGATGGAGGATTCCTCTCGGAGGAGGAGGAGGCGGGGCCGGGCCACAGCGATGACAAGTATTTACATTCGACATCGATTTGTTGTGTGGAGAACATAAATCAACCTTTCACTCACTCAGGATGAGCATACAGACTCCCATTAGTCCGGTGTTACATTCTCCCACACACACACACACACCACAGAGCTGCAGTGACGTAACGCTCATCTCATCAGGGCGATATCATAAAAAAGCCCGTTGCCACAGCAACATTTCCCTGCATTTCCACGGCAACCGGGCCCGCCATGTCAAGGTGGTGCATTCTCCCACCAACTGAAAAGGGAGGAGGAGGGGAGGAGGGAGGAAGGAGGGAGGAGGGAGGAGACAATGACGACCAGTAGTGAGCAATGCAGCAGCCTCAGAGGAGGAGGAGGAGGAGGAAGATGCGGAACAGTCTGACCCTTGCTGGTTACATCTGAGTACTGCAGATCATATCCTGGAGAGAGATGAGGAGGATTCAGGGCTGAAGGGGAAGGAGACATCTTAGGATACATCGGGAGTCGATTGACATTCAGAGGGACGAACTCACCAGAACGAGGTCGGTGCGCCTCAGTGTGTTGAGGATGTGCAGCACGGCGTCGTGGACGCTGACAAACAGCCGGCTCTTTGGGAGGGACTCCGAGAAGAAACCGGCCGTCTCCAGCTGCTCCACCACACACGCTGTAGATATATACATGTTTAT